ACACTGGCAGACAATGAATCATTTTTAGAATTTTCAAAAGAAAAGCAGGAAATAAATATTTCTTATGACTTTCTCTAATGTTTTCTCATTTGCTCCCCAAGCAGGAATCAATTTAAGGATGATAGAATTATCTGCATTTTTACAGATGAGTAAACTGAGGTCCAAAGAAATTAGGTGAATTTCTCAAAGTCATAAGACAGGAGGTAGTGGAGCTATCTATTGTTTGAAACTAGTGCTAATTCCAAAGGTGAGGGCCCCTGCCACCTCCCCAGTTTTGCAAAATGCCTCTGATGCTCCAGAAACCGTAGGTATGCAGAATCAGTTATAGAATGTGTGAAAAATGAACATATGAGGACTCTTGTTCAGAAAGTATAAGGAATTCAAGATGGCAACAGCAGAGCCTTAAACCAAGCTCAGGAGGTTGTGCACAGGTTGTATGCCCACAAAGCTGATCCTGATGCTAAGTGTTAATCCCTACCAAACATTTTTTTTTTTTTTTTTTGGTGGTGCTGGGGATCAAACCCAGAACCTTGTACATGTGAGGCAAGCACTCTACCAACTGAGCTATATCCCTCGCCCTCCACTAAACATTTTGATCAAATAAGAAAGTCTGCTATGTAAGGGATATAAAAAAAGAAGCTATGTAAGGGACATAAAAAAAGTTAATAAGGAACTTTAAAATCAGGCTTCTTTTAGGTGCTTAGAGGCACCTGGTAGATAGGAGCCCCACAGCTGAGTGTGAGCATATTGGATTCTAGTAACAGCCCTTCAAATAACTTCCTGTTGACCTTGCATGCTATCCAATTTCTTAAAGCTTTGTTTACTCTTCTGTAAGCCCATAGAGGGCAGGGTAGGGAGGTAGTGGACTACATTAGTGTCTCCCCACCTCTAGTTATTTATATGCCACATTTTTAATATAGTGGTTATGACCATGGACTCTGGACCCACCCTTCCTGAGTTTTAATCTTGACTTTAGTTAAGTGATCTCAGGCAAGTGCCTCAGTTTCTTAGTCTGTAAAATGAAGACCGTGAGATTAAATATGTAAGATGAGTAAATGAATTCACTAATAAAGCCTTCAGAATGATGGGTGATGTGTGATACATGCTTATTAGTATTGTTACTATAAATCATATGGCACCTTTACTAGTACTACTAGTACAAATGCTTTTTTTTTTAAAAAAAACATGATTTGCTTTTTAAGTTAAAAAATCATCTATAGTTTTGTCCTAAGCAAAACTATCTGTGAAACCCCAGATTCATGTGTATGTGTGGTTTTTTAAATACATGTGAAAATCTATGACTATGGAGTATTCTAGAAAGTTCATTTAATGTCTCTCTAAAACCAGCTGAAATATTACCAATGGGATGGGCACCACACTGTGGGTGGCACTGTGCTAGCGATGGAAGCCCCTCCAGCTTTAATCATCTGTAAATGAGGGAATGTGTATCTTCTTTCACTTGACATATTCATGACTGAAATATTTCTACCCACTTTGGTCACTTTTCTCCAGAATAAAATCTTTCCATTGGTTAGCTACATGTTCCAGTGGCAAAGTATTTAAACAGAGATGAGAGATTATAAGTAAATAATATAAATGGTGAAAATATTGATGAATCAGTGGAGTCCTCTCAAGAAATCTCCTTAAGTCTAACAAGGGAGGAGACTTAGAGCAGTGAAAGATTGGGACAAAATACAAACAGGAAGGCACAGAGTGGCCTGCAGAGGCAAGGAATCTGCTGGAAGACCCATGCCATTTTCTTTGACTGCTGCGTTTTACCCCAGTTTCTTCTACCTAAATCTTACATCACAGGCCCTGTTCAAATTCTACCTCTTCAAAGTCCTTTTTGACTGTTCTAACTTGAAGTTCCTTTTTTCCCCCATTTGCAAAGTACTGTATAATAATGTAAGACATATTTCTTAAGCATACAGCATAGGCACTGTTCTAGGCATACAGGACACATGCTGAACCCCAGTACCCCAGCCTAAAGCAGTGGACAAGTTGCTAATGAATAGGAAGGAGTTCTGTTCCCTTGCCCAGGATGGTTGATTCAGGGATTGTCTTGCCCCTTGCAGGGGGATACGTAATCTATTGCTTTTATGTTCCTCAAAGCTCTGAAGGATCCTCCTTAGCTAAGTATTTGTTATCAAAGAAGCTGTGTAAGGGACATAAAAAGAGTTAAATAAGGAACTTTAAATTAGGCTTCTTTTAGTTATCTCAAGTTGTCATGAATTCAATCTCTGACCTTCTCATAAACATCAGCAATTGTTAGATATGAAAAATCTGTAATGCAAATATAATACAAATTGATCAGAAGTAAAATTTGGAATTTCAGAAGAGGTAAGACCTTGAAGTCAATGAAAGTGACTTTAGAGAACAACTTGAATTCATATGTAAAGCTGTGAACAGTTGATCTAAGAGAGTCATATTAGTTATTAACAACAGAAGAGAGACAATCAACAAGGATGATGGCGTGGTGGGCACTCTCCAAGGGAATGGTTGGAATGAAGAAAATACCTTGGGGGAAGAAATGAAAAGCTCTTGAATATTCTACAAAAGTCAGTATGAAGTGAAGGCTATTAAATGGTACCATGATAGCAATGTTGTCAGAAAAATAATGCCCTCAAACCCACATTTAATCCATACTTTGTTCATTTTAAAAACTAGAGTATAATTGTTCTTCTCATTTAATTTTGCCAAATGAGAAACAAATTTTCATAATTTTTTGTTTCATCATTTTTATTTTCTTTAAAAAAGTTTTTAAAACATTTTTATTTATAGATGGACACAATACCTTTATTTTGTTTATTTAGCTTTTTTTATGTGCTGCTGGGGATGGAACTCAGCTAGGCAAGAGCTCTACCACTGAGCCACAACCCCAGCCCCTCACCATTTTTATTTTTTACAGCAGAATTCCAAGCAAACTCTTCCTCTTTCTTGTGTCTATGCTATTTTTGTCCCTCCCCTCTTTTATTTTTTTTAAAATATTTATTTTCTAGTTGTAGGTGGACACAATACCTTTATTTTATTTATTTATTTTTATGTAGTGCTGAAGATCAAACCTAGGGCCTTGTAGGTGCTAGGCGAGTGCTCAACCGCTGAGACACAACCTCAGCCCCCTCCCCTCTTTTAAAAAATGTGTTTATTTAAGCAAATTTTTTTCTGATACTAATTATCCTTGCACAAGAACTTCAGTCATTCACTATTCAATTCCATCAGGGTTGATCAGCATTATTCTTCCAGAACCAATGACCAAGAACAGCAGGAAGGAAGGGGACAACTGGCTTTCTTGATTCTAATGCAGAGAGCAAGGGTTCAGTTTTTCACAGATAAAAACACTTCTAAAATTCATTTAGAAAAATAAGAAACCCAGAATGGCCAAACCAATTAAAAACAAAAATAAATGCTGAAGGCATCACAATACCTGACTTCAAATTATACTACAGAGCTGTAGTAACAAAAACTGCATGGTACTGGCATAAAAACAGACACATAGGCCAGTGATACAGAATAGAAGACACAGAGACTAAGGTGCCAAAATCATATGTTGGAGAAAAGACAGCCTTTTTAATAAATGATGCTGGGAAAACTGATTATGCATACGTAGAGGGAGAGATTAGTTCATATCTTTCACCCTGAACTCAGAGTGGATCAAAGAACTAGGAATTAGACCAGAAATACTGCAATTTCTAGAAGAAACCACAGGGCCAACCCACCAAAATATTAGTGCAGGCATTGACTTCCTTGATAAGATCCCTAATACTCAAGAAATAAAACCAAGGGCTAGGGGGCTGGGGTTGTAGCTCAGTGGTAGAGTACTTCATTAGCATGTGTGAGGCACTGGGTTTGATCCTCTGCACCACATAAAAACAAATAAATAAATAAAATAAAAGTATTGTGTCCATCTACAAACAACAACAACAACAAAATTAAAACAAACAAACACACACCAAGGGCTGGGGTTGTGGCTCAGGGTGGAGTGCTTGCCTTCACATGTGAGGCACTGGGTTTGATTCTCAGCACCATGTTAATAAATAAATAAATAAATCGTGTCCATTTACAACTAAAAATATTAAAAAAAGAAATTAAACCAAGAATCAATAAGTGGGATGGAATCAAATTATAAAGCTTTTGCATAGCAAAGGAAACAATAAAGAGTGTGAAGAGAAGCCTACAGAATGGGAGAAAATCTTTGCTAGCTACTCTCTGACAGGGGATTAATATCCAGAATATATATAAAAAACTCAAAAAGCCTCCACCCCCCCAATGATCCAATTAATAAATGGACAAATAAACTAAACAGACACTTCTCAAAAGAAGAAATACAATGATCAACAAATATATGAAAAAATATCCAACATCTTTAGCAATTAGAGAGATGCAAATTAAAACTACACTGAGATTTCATTTTACTCCAGTTACAATGGCAGCCAGTGAGAATACAAAAAATAACAGATGCTGTAAAGGATATCAGGGAAACGTTGTTAGTGGTGTTGTAAATTAGTATAACTGCTATGGAAGCTTCCTCAAAAGATTAGGAATGGAATCACCATTTGACCCAGCTATACCTCTCCTCAGAATATATCCTAAAGAATTAACACATGCATACTCATGATTATAGTAGCTTAATTCACATAAGCCAAATTATGGAACCAGTCTAGGTGTTTCCATCAACAGATGAATGGATAAAGAAAATGTGGTCTACATACCCAATGGACTTGTATTCAGTCATAAAGAAGAATGAAATTATGTAATTTGCAGGAAAATGATGGAACTTGAAAGCATGATGTTAAGTGAAATAAGCCACATTCAGAAAGCCAAGGTCATATGTGGAAGCAAGAGAGAAAAAAGAGGGGGCAGGGGAAAGCAAGCAAGCAAGCAAAGGTCCATAGAACCAGCCAGATTTCTCTAAGAATGGAGGTGTCTAGTCCAGTTAGGAGGTAATTTTGGGATAAGCCTGTTCAAGACCTTAAAAAAAGGCTCCAGGGGAAGTTGCTTACCCACAAAGCACCAGACTGCAAACCGGATCCATGTGATGGTGGAGAGCTTTAGCATGAGATAGATGTTCACCAGCATGGCAAAGGCAGGCACAAAGGGGAGGCAAGGCGCCATGTAGGGCAGCTTCTTGGGGTTCTCTGGCTGCTGCAGGATCACAAACACCAGGGCGCTGATCAGCAGCACCATCAGAACAACCAGAAGGATGGCCCACCAGCTCTGCTCTGAGATGTAGTCAGAACCAAAGATGATGAAGGAGCAGAAGATGAACATGAGGATGAAGAGCAGGAGCACGCAGATGGTCACCGTGTGCCCGGTTGCTGCTGTGGGCCGGTCCATTTTGCCTGGAAGACCCAGTCGGATTCTCAAGGTGTAGTAACGGGGCCCAATCAGCTTCTTCAACTTGATGAGATAAATGTTTTCAGATTCATCAGCTTCTATGCCTGTGGTCATGTCCACGGTGCCATAGTTGGGGTGGTTGACATTGTAGGTGGACTTGTCTGATTTCCCAATGAGCATCTCATTGTCTCCCAAAGATGGTAGGTTTTTGGCCCCACATGTATTGGTGGCCGGGCTGGAAAACTCTTCCCCTTCACTCACAGGAGAACAGGTTTCCTTCTCACATTCGGCCAGAATGCCCTCCTTCTTCTTGGTGTGCTCCTCAGACAAGAACTTGACAAAACCATCAATGTCACTCTCAGGTTGGTATCGAAGGAGCAAGACACAGACGGAGACCAAGGTGTAGGCAAGGAGTGTGCCGATGGACATCATCTCTATCAGGTCTCTCAGGCTCACCAGCAGCGAGAGCAGAGCTGCCAGGAACCCTGACACAATGCAGGCCACCACTGGAGTCTCTGTGTAGGAGCTTACGTGAGCCAGGAACCTGCAGCAGAGGAGCAAGCGGAGAGTTAATGGCATGCCACACAGATGGTGACTGATTCTAACATGGCCAATGTAGGGGACCAGAGTGTTTGTAGATTTGTGTGGTTAGCGCCTCCTTATCCTGCCCTTCCAATTTACTTGTGCACACTGCCTTAATTCTAATTGCTATTTCTACGTTATGGGTTGGCTCCTGGAGTGTCATTTAGAGAGAATTCACTTTAATTCCTTGATTTTGAGGCAAACGTCTTCATTAAATTTTCTATTCACTATGAGACAAAAAAGGCGGAATCTAGGAGGTCTGTGGGAGATCTAAATTAGAGCCCAAGGGTATGCTGGGAAAAAGGGATGGTTAGAGGAAGTCATGCAACTGCTTGGGAATCCCCCGAACCTGTAGGTTTGCAGCATCAGCATCACCTTTAGCTTGTTAAAAGTAGATCTTGTCAGGTTTTACCAAGATCTGCTACCTCAGAATCTCTCAGGGTGGTGCTTAGCAAATTGCTCTTTAAAAGACCTCTAAAGGGTTCTAGAGCTTGAGAAAGACTGCCTTGCAATAAAAGTACAGAAGTATAGCTGGACAAATAGCCCAATAATTAAGAAGCTGTGCTCAGAGATACAGGTTCAAGTTTAGCTAGTTACTCCCTAAAGAAGAGAAGACCAACAGGGCCGTCAATGGCATGCACTTCTGTTGCAGTTCCTATAGGATGAAGGAGGCTTCCTCTTCCTCTCTCTTCTCCTGGTCCTGCCTCCTTCATCCTCTATCATTTCTCCCTTATTTTCAAGATTCACACAGAACTATAAATTTGCCCAAAGTCCCTGCATCTTCCCTCTTTGTTTTCTTTGAAGCATAAAAACATTTTGGATGTGTGATGTGTTCACTCCTCCATCAATGTAAGCCCTTCTTTTTCTTTTCTTTCTTTATTATTATTATTTTTTAATTTGTCCTTTTTAAAAAAATTTTTTAAGTCATTGATAGGCCTTTATTTTATTTATTTATATGTGGTGCTGAGAATCAAACCCAGTGCCTCTCACATGCCAGGCAAGTGTGCTACTGCTAAGCCCCAGCCCCAGCCCCTTAATTTGTTCTTTTTAGTTATACATGACAGTAGAATGTATTTTGACACATTATAAATACATGGAGTATAACTTCCCATTCTTATGATTGTACATGGTGTAGAGTTACACTGGTTGTGTATTCATACAGGAACATAGGAAAATTATGTCTGATTCAGTCTACTGTCTTTCCCATCCTCATTCTCCCATTCCCTTCTTTCCCCTTTTAGACAACATTTGGTCTTTGGTAAGCCCTTCTTGATCTGCTTACCAACCCATACATGGAGCAGATGACAGTTGGTGGTAGAGATAAAGTACCTGGGGCAGCTCTCTCTGCACTCCTGAGAGTTCCTTGGCTTCCCATGGTGGGCCTGGGGACCAAGTGGCAGGGCCACATCCCTTTATGCCCTGGTCAGATAGGCCAATTCATTGCCAATGTAGGGGACTAGAACTGTCCGTCTATATGTTAGTAGTTAAGAGTTTGGCTTTGGGAGTCAGATAGTTCTGGGTTCAAATATTAGCCTCTGAATCAGAGATTTGAGGTAATATTTGTTTTTTAACCTCTCTAATTCCTAGTATACCCATCTGCAAAACAGAGTTGTTGTGAGAACTAAATGGGATACTATACACAAAGCACCTGGGAAAGTCCAACAATAGTAGCTATTGCTGCTACAGTTACTAGATTCTGTTGTGAGGGTTTTATCTTCTTTCTGATTGTTAATTTTTTTTTAAACTTTAGTGGAGCTGTGAAGATAGGGACAGGCAACTGGTCTCAATATGAGGGCAGGTCTAAAATGTCCCCTGGGCAGGTTCTTCCCTTTGGAGCCCCACCTACACCCTTTCCTCTAGTCCTTTGTATAGTGATTTGACACTCACCATCTTCACAAGGGGGATACAATGTCAAAGAGAGAAGGGCAGGTGAGGGAACAGGTCCATTAGTACCAGTTAGTACCAGACTGAGGGACCCTGAGTCACTCTGAGGGACTGTTTTAGGGCCTGAGCTCTTTAGACTCAAACTCTCTCTCAAGATATATAACAAGGTCCACAGTGTATGTGAAAAGCACTTATCAAAATTCTGTCCAGTTGACAGTGGGTGACAGTTTTCCTTGAAAGACACAGGACGGCAGAGGACATTTCACAGAGCATAGCCCTTACCTGAAAAGGAGCCCATCACCAGCCATGGCATAAATGACCCTTGGCATTGGGAAGAGGGAGCCCAGCAAGCTGACTGTCAGTCCTGCAACCGACCCAATAGCTACTACAAATTTTGCAGCATAGAAACCGTGAGCCACAAACATCTCCATGAGTGGGGATTCTGTGTCAATGGCGTAATATGGCACCATCAGAGTTAAGATCATGCTCACCTGTGAAAAGAAGAGAAGATATGGCTGGAGGTGGAGAAACTGACAGCATGGTAGATGGCCTGCAGGAGAAGAGGTCCTCTGGACCTGGAGGCAGAGCCTTGCACAGCAGTTTGGATCTACCACTGATTGGCATGTGGCTTTATTTTAGATCAGTTATTCAGCCTCTGGGGCTCTTGGCCTCCATTTCTTCTCACATGCAACTTTAGCGAACTGGTTCAAATAATGTCTAATATCTCTCTGTGGCCTTCTCATATCTGAGGAGTAAGTGTTTCTGCCCCATGAAATCAGAGCTACATGGATAGTGCAATGGGGACAGACACTACCAGATGGAAGGAGCTGTATCCAGGAAGGTCACTGCTAGCAGTGACCGTGAATAGCTGCCCTCAAGGACAAGACTCTCAGTTCTTTTATTCTTTCAGGGTCCTACAGGGCCTTATCTGTACTCCTTTTACTCCAAACACCCAAGATCAAAACTCCAAAGGTAAGCTCCTAGGAGGCCCATAACCAGTTAACAAATGGGACCACAATGCAGACTCATATTTCCATTTCCTCTCTCTAGCTCAGTTCTGGGGGTCATGCAGGCCAAGGAAGACAATATGGCATCAAGATGGAATCCAGTCCTACCCTGGTAAGACCACTGTGGCTTTGCTTAACCAGGGAATACTTGGCTGGGGGCTCCAGGACCTATCTTCCTTCACATGGCATAGATCTGCCATGACATTGGTCTTTCAGAATTGGCTCAAGAAAATGGAGCCACCAGTCATATGATCAGATATGAGTTCCCTCAGGCCTGTGAAGACCAATCCTGAACTAAGGGAGTTCAAAGCCTGAAAGGGAGAGGGTAGCCATAGGTAGACCGTTTCTTTGCCAGGTCCCCAGGAGCCAAGATCCTCTAGTGAAAATATGAGATACTAGGGAAGATAGCAAGATGTATCATCATAGTCTAGCAATTTGGGTTTTACCACAGTGATGGGGCCTGCTGACCAGTACAAGAGCAAGCAGCTCCCGAGGCAAAGCTAAAGCCCACATAGTCTAAAATAGAATGCGCCCCAGGGATACCACCACTTGCTACATTCCCTTTGGGGATGGGGTAGGGTTGGATTACAGCAAGGCACATTGAGTCTCCTGGCCATGTTAGATCAGGATGAGCAAAAATTTGGTAGAGGCATAGACTCATTCTGTAGTCTATAATGTTGCTCTTCTAAGAAAGGAACTGTGAGTATTGACTTTGTTGTGTGTGTGCTGCAAAGGCCCCTTCTGGAGAAGGGGAGGCATGAGGAAAGGGCAGAAAGCAAATGTAGAGCAGGGTGTCTCTCCTGCCCCTACTACCCTGCCACCTCTCCCTCAATTTTCTGCCCTCAGGGATAATCAAAGTGCGCATAGGATGAAGCCACTTGCACCTGTGTGTATAGAGGGAGGTGATAAATTGACCCATGCGTAAAACATTTGTCTGGGCACTAAATTGCTCTCAACCATATCTAAGGATACTCTCCTGTTTTTGTTTGGCTTCTAGGACAATCCTGTTTTGCAGATTGCCTTAACCATGAATAGGTCAGACTTCCTTAATTGGTGGCTAAAGATGATTTTATTTTTTGAATGAGGAATGGCAGGGCTGACAGGCTGCACCCCCAGCTGCTAGCTCTTTCCTAATCATGACCCAAGTCAGTAGGACCCTCAGGACATTGGAGCATTTGTGTGACCCCACACTTGATGGCTCAGCAGCCATCAGGTTCTCTCTGTTGCAAGGCACTTAGGGGATATTGGATATGGCTGAACAATCTCTGTGATAGAAATTGGAAGTGGGAGCTGGATGATGAAACATCAAAGATGTAGGAGGAGCGTCTCAGGGGTCCTGAGAGAGGAGGCTGAGGGCTTTACTCTGAGAGCCACCTTAGGCAGGGAAACCCCGAGGATGGATTTGAGATAGTGTGAAAAGATGGGGCAACAGACGAAAGAAATTGCATCTCCCCCACCCTAGGATGAAGGGGAAGAGAGTCTCCAGAGGACAATGGATTCTCTCTCCCCATTGCGGGAGCCTCGCCTCTTTGCTGCCGGGAAGCTCCCAGAAGACAGAGGAGCATTGAGGGCTGTGCACAGAGGCCACAGTGGCTCTGCTCGCACACCACCGGTTACTGCCAGCCTATGACCTGAGCTCCTTGGACGGCAGCCCACTCCCTGCACACCATGCCCTGGGACAGCGGCAGGAACTGCGAGCCTGGGTGTAGCGGGGGATGAGGGTGGGGACTCCAGAGGTGAAGGCCGAAAGGGTCTGGGGCTGCTCCTCTCCTGAGGGGAGTCCTGAGATTCTTCTTGACATCTTGGCATCCAAATGCCCAGAAGGCAGAAGGCAAAGCCTACTTCCGGACAGAGGAGGGGATACAGTCCTAGAGCCACATTTTCAGGTTAAATATAAAAAGTCCAGGAGGAGGGTCTGTTCAGCATTTGGTACTCACAGACACGTAGGCTGTCAAGCAGATGACCAGGGAGGCAGTGATAGCGTAAGGGATGGACGTGTTGGGATTCTTGGCTTCCTCTCCGGTGGTGGCAATGATGTCAAAGCCAATGAAAGCATAGAAACATGTGGCCGCTCCTTGCAGCACCTGTAGGGATAATGGCATCTGTCAGGCTCAGGAGTTTAGGGCAGCACCAGGGCCTTCAATGTGGCACCCACAGTGGCCCAATGTCCTGCAGAAGTTACTGAGTAGAGGAGGGAGTAACATGGTAGAGCTGGCACCGAACACCCAAGTTCTGGTCTCCTCTGCTTTCTCTCTGTGTGACTGAGCAATTTCCTCAGGTGTTAAGTGGAGATAAGAATTTTTTATGGCCAAATAAAAATTGGATCATTTAACACATTTGAATCCTTTTTTGGAAGCAAGTGGGAGTATCAGTAAATCAATATATTGGCTATCTCTATGTCTTAGGGAACTCATTAGCTTTTATTTTCCTCCAACAGTTCTCAACCACAGCCATGGGCTATGTGGCTTAAGGATGTTTGGCGAGGGAGGGAGCTTCTGACATTTAGTGGAGGGGACTCAGGTACTTCTGCACAAAGAAGAATTTTCCTGCCCCATATCACGTTAGTGTCCCTGATAGATAATCTCTGTGAGTAACTTCCAGATCTGAAATGATATAAAAGATTTTCAGATCTTTAGATGTTCTGTTGCCTTCAAAGGGAAGACAGTAGAGACGGAGTTTGATTTTCTGTTCCTTTTGGAGGTTTAAGTGACCTAGCTGGGCATGAGGCAGGAGGTCAGAGCGAAGCTGGGGAGTGGGCATCCAGCCACATCTGCTGCATGTCTGTCTGTCAGAGCCTGAAAGCCTCCAAGGGCGATGGGGTCTACGTTAAGACATCAGTGAAAATTTTCCACTGAGGAATGTGTGACTTCCTTCTAAAGAATCTATTGAAATTTAAATGAGTTTTCCCCATCTCAGTATTTTCATTATTAGCTGGAAGTAAAAAATCTTCCTCTGAATACTCGGAGGATGTCCTTGTAGGGGAAGATGAGAGATTTTTTTTTGGACTTGTGTGACTGGTTGAGGGGACAAGATGCAACCTCCAGAGGGGTCCAAGAAGTGAGGTCCCTGGTAGATTGGAATATTTCCCCTGCTTTTTCTCTACATTCAACTTATAAATGATGTCATTCAAAGCCGAGCAGATGCTTGTCTAAAATTTTTGCCCTTACCTTACACACTAACTTCTTCATATGGAAAAACCAAGATACTGGATACTAGAACCTACAAGGTATATCAAAAAATTGAAGAGCTTCTTAAACCTTCAAAAGCAACCTTTGCTCATCTGTAAAATGAGCTAGTATCTTTTACAGTCCCTCCCAATGGAGATTCTAATGTTTCCATCCCTAGCCTAGCTAGGGGTTCTTACCCTCAGGGCAGGGACATTTAGGGGCTCTGCTGGGAAAGAGTTACATTTTTTTATTTTCAATAATTTCCAACTGGATGTTAGCATTTCTTTCCACCATGAATGCAGGTGACTCAGAGTACCTGTGATTTCTGTCACCAATAACAATCTGATATAATAATAGATATTAGTATTTAAAGCACTAATTAAGAAGCACATTGTTTTTGTATCACAATTAAAAATATTTATTACTCTATTTAAATATGATTGATTTGCCTCGAATTACTGCATAATTGGGTTCTTCATTGAAAATCCTAATTTTCATAAGGCGTCCATAAGCCTCATCAAACTGCAAAGGGGTCTATGGCACAAAAATTTAAGAATTCCTGTCTATTCTAATAAGTCAGGCAAAAACAACTTCCCAAACATAAGTGGTTCCATCTTGCGAGTGCTACTTTCTGGAAAGCAAGAGAGCTACTTTGCCTCCTGAAAAACCCTTCATGTCAGGGTATGGAAAGTGGATTTGGCTGCCAGACAAGGAGAGAAAACAGATTTCATCTCCCTATCCAGGGAGATTCACAGTCTTGAAATGGTGCTGGCTTTCACTTGTCTAGAACATATCACTGGTATTCAAGGATGAGCAGATGATGGGATTGCAGGCTCACTAGGTTATCCTGACCAAGCCAAACCTCACTGTAAGACAGCTTCCAGAAAACAGGTCTTGCTTTCCTTTCCTTTAGCATCTTTCTTCTCTTCCACAGAGGAAGACAGGTAGACACTCAGCCATGGGCACATCCCACTCCTGTAAATCACACGGTACCTGGCACAGTAGCAGGTAAATTTGAATAATATCCTTAGAAAAAAGCAAGAGGTCTATGAACCACAATACATGAGGCATAATGGGGGACCCAGGGATGTGTAACCTGAAGAGTGGGAGACTCTGTAGAAAGCATGGATACCTACGAATTTCTGAAGTACCGAGAGTATCACAGCTGAGGTGGAGGTGCCCTGTAGGCTCCAGAGGGGACTCCAGAGCCATGAATTTGTGGATTTTTGTTTATTAGAACAGTAGTCCTTGTAGACTGTCAGACCTGGGCTGGTTCTGCCACATATTAGCTTGATGATGTAGAACAGATTCCTAACCTCTTAATCCTTAAGTTTCTTTATCACTAAAAGGGAGATAATAATAACATGTAGTTCAATTTCAATGAATATTAACTTTTACCACCATTACTATTATTACTATTATAAATTTTTCTAGAGCAGATAAAACCCAAGAGAACAAATTCCTTCTCCTCCTATCTTTTTTCTTTCTCCTCC